ACGCGTGTCTTGAGCATCATCGTGCGCAAAAATCATACGATGGGCAATCGCCTCGTAGCGTTTGCAGCACCGTATGTTTTTGCGAAGAATGCGGTCGTTTAAGGGGGGACATAGGGTTAGGAGCCCGATTTTTCATGTTTTTTTGAGAATTTTTTTTAGGTAGAAAAAAATTTTTTTTTTTGCAACTTTGGGATCATTTTATACATATTCTGAAGTACATGTCCAAATTTTTTTAAGTCATTATATTTAAAAATAGAGCAGTTGTAGGCCGCACCCGTGGACGTTCGCCGCACGAACATGTCGCTTGCGTAACATATAGAGGTCGTAATTTCCGCCTAAAATCAAAAATCCAAAAATTTTTACGTTAATTACAAGTTTCTCTTCGATATGAACCTCAAATCGGCTAAAAAAATCAAAAATTTGAAAAATTACGCAAGTTTGAAAAAAACCATCAATTTTCACCGTTTTTTTTTCAGTTATTTGCCCTTAAAAATGCACTTAAAACCCATTTTTTATTCCGATTGGAAGTTCATATCGAAGACAATTTAATAACGAACAATAATCACTTTGGTTTTTTAAAATTGGTTCATTATTTTTTAGCTAGACGTCACGCAAGCCGAAAAAAAGTCGTTTCGAGAAAAACGCGTTTGAAAAAAAAGTTATGAAAAACTGAACGTTTATGGCTTTTAATGAATTATACGAAGTTCCTACCTTTTAGTCATCGATTCCTGCGCCATATAGCAAGCCTTCTTCTTCTTCATAAGCGAGATTTGCGGCCAACATTTGTTCTTTTTCGCGCTATTCTCGCTTCTTTGGTCTCGAGGCTGCTGCGTCGGTTTTGGCGTTTCACGCGCTGCTCGTCCGTTTGTTTGCCGAAGTTGAAACTTAGTGAGCCAACAACAATCTGTAACTCGTTCATCATCATTAAGATTGATGAATTTCCTTTGTTGAACACGGCGGCTGCGATATATGATGCCACTTCAACAATTTTTAAGCCGCAATGCAGATGTTTAGGAGCAAGACGCCAAATTGTCGAGTTCAAATTTTCGTTCGCATTCTGAGTGTGGCCACCTAAGCACCTGGTCAGCAAGTCATCTCTTGAAAGATCTTCGTAAATCGGTAGTAATTCCTTCTGCACATCGTGGTGTAATGGTTGAGGGTGAGATTCAGGCGCATTCCCAAGAGCTCCATCGCCGATGTAACTATTTCACACCATGAAGCTCATTTAATCTCAAAAACATCGTTTTCATAGACTCGACTTCCATGCCTCCTGCTGAGCCTTCATGAGTTTTTGTGCAGATTTCTTCGTCGTGCTCGGCTTTCCATGCTAGATATTCTTCAGAATTCGTTGATTTATTTTTCCATTGTGCACATGCATGACAATAACTACTTTTAATGACGAGATCGATGACTTTTCCTGTGTGATATGCTATTAGAGTCGTTACGCCGTACAGTGATTTAAATCCTCTCTTTTTCCAAGAACCATCTCCGGACACTTTGAAATTTGTAATGGGAATTTCACGTTTTTCATTTTCTTGTTTTTCTTCATCTACGGCTTTTTTGCAACAATAATCAAATATAGATTTCGCTGCGGAGTAGATGTGACCGTAAATTCTGTTATACGTGTCTTCCGATATGCCGCTGCAAATGTCCATATAATTACAGAATAATTGTAATCCTTGTCTTCCAACACCCAAAAGTCGCATGACGAACACAATCCTCCGATTAATCTCATATCCAGTATTAATTAAAGGGTCTGAATTGATATTTCTTGATCCGCATTTACACTTGACAACAATTTTGAAACCTAGTCCCCGGATTCCAGTCTCTTCAAATTTAATATTTTGCTTGCAATTTCGACAAACCAGAATGTCCGACAGTGCTGTAAACACGGTGAAAAACTCAATAATACGATAACAAAATATAGGATCGAGCGTAATAGACAACACGAATGCGGTGTGACTTACTGTTCGACGTGTCGTTCTCCCCAGTCGTTGAATCATTTTTGTCACATGCTTCCTCCCCTCGCAAAGCTAATTTCCGTACTAACGACACGGAGCACGTTTTGGGAGAGGGAGAAGGAGAGCAGCAACAAAACGCGGGTGAGTGCGTATTTAAAACAGAAAATCGCGTCGCATTCTTGTTTTATGATTTCGAGACGCAACAGGATGACACGCTTCAAGGTACCGCGAGCGTAAATATTCACGTGCCTACACTTTGCGTCGCGCAACAGATTTGCGAAACGTGTGCCGAGATAGAGAATACTTCGGTGTGCTGTCGGTGGTGCGGTATTCGTGAATACATATTTTGTCGTGATCCTGTAAGGAGTTTGTAGATTTCGCGACACGTCCGACTAAATATTTTAAACACATAATTTGTATAGCTCATAACGCGAAAGCATTCGATGCGCAATTTATCCTACGTTATATTGTTGAGAGCGGAACCGCATTAGAACCGCGGGTAATCTTAAACGGGACGAAAATTGTAGTACTAACAGTGGGACATACGAAATTTATCGATAGTATTAATTACCAATGCGTTTATCGGAGTTACCGAAGGCTTTTGGTCTGACGAATACTTCAGACAAAGGCATTTTTCCGCATTTATTTAATACTAACAATAATCAGTCATATGTCAGTCTGTTGGCGGATATTCGATATTATTCACCCGATAGTATGAATACCAACGAGCGCGAACAGTTTTTAGCGTGGCACGCGGAAATGATTCGTACGAATTGTGTTTGATTTTGAATGCGAGATATTGCGTTACTGTCGCAACGACGTGAATATTCTGAGACGCACGTGCATGTCTTTCAGAAAGATTTTCTTGAAGTGCGGGCGCGTGTGTCCGTTCGAGGAATGCACAACCATCGCTTCCACGTGTATGAGGGTTTTTAAAAAAAACTTTCTGAAACGTGAAAGAGAAATTGGAATAATTCCATCGGGTAGGTACAGACGCGCGAATACCCTATAACGCGCGAATACCCTATACGGTATAACGCACTATCACGTGTTGCAATTTCACGGTTGTTTTTGGCACGGTTGTCCGTCATGTTTCAAGATTAATCGCAATAGAGAACTAGCGGTAAACAACGAACGCGGGGATACGATTGATTTGCGTTATGAGCGTACCATCGCAACAACGTATCGTCTTCGAAGACGGGGGTACACGGTGATAAAGAAGTGGGAATGCGTCTTCGATCGCGAGATGACGAAAAATAGGGAAATGCGCGAATTTTTACAGAATCACCCAATGATAGAGATTGAGCCGCTCAATCCGCGCGATGCGTTCTACAGTGGACGCACGGGAAATATCGTGACGCGGTACGAGATTACAGGTACGGAGAAGATACGTTACGTAGATGTTTGTTCTCTGTACCCGTACGTACTGAAAACCGGAGTTTTCTCGATCGGACATCCCACGGTGTACGTCGCGGAGGAATGCTCGACTCTAATTGGCATAAGTCTGTGTTACAATTTTGATTCCGTCGAAGGTCTCGTGCGTTGCAGGGTACTCCCCCCGCGATCTCTTTCACCTTGTATTACCCTATCACGTGTGTTTGCGATCGAAATGAGACTCCGATCGGAACAGAGAGGTGCCGGGTGTGCTCAGAGAGAGCGAAGGGTCAGATTGGCGGCGAGGAAAGAACGGAGCGAGCAACGAAAGGAGCGAGAAGGAGAGAGAACGCTGGCGGTCGCACAAAACGGCAACCGAGCGAGAGAGAGAGCCAAATAAAATTAAGTGAGCGAAAAGTAAGGATCCGCAGGCGCGGTGGAAACGGATCAAATCGAATGAGCGCGATAAATGTTTGTAGAGCGATGATATTTGCAGAATAATGCACTTTATTGTCAATAATTAATTAAACGAATTAACAAAAGTTCGCTGGCGATTAAGGGGGAGCCTCGTATGAATCGCTAAAACAAAGGTGATTTTAAGAATTTTTTTTTAAGTAAACAATGCAACGGATCTTTTTAAAACTTTTTAGTGTTTTATAACATATATTAAAAGTAAAAAAAAATTTTTTTGTTTAAAAATAATTGATTATAGAGCCACTATAAACAAATGTTGACGCAGCCTCGTCACTGGAGTTGTGAATTGGCGGGAGTTGTAGCGTCTTTTGCACTCGTTTAAAACCAAAAAAAAAAAAGTTTTTCTTTTCTATGAAATTATCTAGTCGATAAACCTAAAAATAAGTAAAAAGTTGAAAATTGAAAAAATGGCAACACTTAAAAAAAATTGCGATTTTGACCCACAAAATGTCACCTTATTTATGCAATAAAAATTGTTTAAATTAATTATTTTACTAATTTTATAGGTTCATCGACAATTTATATTATTAAACTACATGTATGCACAGGGACAACTCGATTGATCGAATAGTTTTTGAGTAATCTTTCCCGCCAATTGCCAAAAACTGATTTCGAGAAAAACGCGTTTAAAGTTTTCGGTATTGAAAAGTAAAAAGAAAAGTGTAACAACAAGTTTAAAACTGAGGCTCCGATTTCCTGCTTCTTCGAATTTCACACTTTGCTTGCACTCTCCAAATTGCACTCTCAAATAAGTACTTCCGAAAGCGCGCCAAAAACAGTTACAA